GATCTAGAATCTAATCTGTAATTTGATCATGAAAACTATTATCAAGAGGAGTGAAGTTGAGCTCGGGTGCCAGGAGTCTCTCCATGTTTCCTCCATTGTCACCTCATCCTAGCAACTGCTTCAACAATCCATCCCACAGCAAAAGCCACCAAGGACATGACCAACATCAAGGCTGCCATATCCACATCAAAATATTGAGCCTCGTTTCAACAAAAGAAACCATCATCTGATAACTTGCTAGATTAGGCTCCGGTTCTCAATTTCAGGATAAGTTATTAATTTTTTAGAATGTAGATTGGCCAATAGTATGCTTTATGACATTAATACATCCATATATAAATTCAGAGTCGTTATGGCAGCGAGGCAACGCCTCACCAATTAGCAAGTTGATTTAACTTTTTCAGTGACAACCTCTTTTTATTGCTGCTTATTCATATTAATCTGAATATCTATATCTTGTGTATATAATTATTTAGTTATACTAATCATACATTTAATTGCCATATCCATTAATCTTAATTTATCAAATTAGTTTATTTTTATTGCATATAATATTTTCTTTGCATATTGTCCATACATTATACTTGTATTACACAACAACATTGTTGAGAGTTGATAACTGGCTGTTTACTCAGAACAATTGATAATTGGCCGTTACAATATTTCTAGAGTTAGGTTAAACTATGTACCTAGTTCAGATCTTTGATAATAAACCATACCAGTGTTAACAGTTATAGAACTGTGTTAATTATCAAATCCGTGTATAAAATACAAGTTAAATGTGTTGAAATACCAGCAGGTATATTGTGGGTCTGCAATCAATAACCTAGCTCAGCCTTGAAGACCCTACCTGCTACAGCCCATTACAAGTATGAAGGACACAGAGAATTTGGACTTACAACCCAAACATAGGACCTTTGTCCCTAGCTAAGAATTTGCATTTTAATGAATTATATTTAGTACTTAATTTTCAAGTCCTATGCAGTTATCTTCATCAACATAATCCCGGCATTTTTTCCACAGCCTCCATTCCATACAAATATATACAGAACATGCATACAGATATAGCCTACATGGTGCCTCTCTACCCGAGGGCAGCGTAGCACACTCGATACCCACCTCAAGGACAATGTTCCAGACCCATCACACTCACGCTCTCCATTCAATATATATTGAATAGCATTACTTTTTAACAATGTCCCATTACTTTTCACAAACTCACAAAACCCCTACATCCATAACGGCTCATAAAGAGCCTACGTTTCATTGTTTCATAGAAGGGTATGAGAGCTGTTTTGTTATTGAATACGATCAATTATTAATATTATTTATAATTTATCTCATTCACTTACAAAACGGCACCCATTCCCTTTAAGAAACAACGAAATGTAAGCAAGACAGCGCCTCGGACATGTCTCAAGGACAGAACAACTCTCACCAAGTCCCTCAAGGTCACTTAAATCCTTTATCTCTGTCAAGTTAGAAAAAACACAATAACACCCCCATACATAAGTCTAAAAGAACGTTCAAATATCACAGATTATAGTAATTTCCATGACTTAAATGTAATAGATAAATGAATACACGAGATAAAATAATACTTCCTTAATTTGAATGCACATAAGAAAAAATAATTGAAGTAGTCAATAGACATATTTTTCACACATATTTCAGTCCTCCCATTAAGAGGAATTTAATTTCCCCACCTTGAACTTGAAGAGGCTGTCGGCAAATTTGGTGTAGTCAGCCGGGAATAGCCACCTGCCGGGGTTGAGGCGGATAAGGCCATTGGTATAACCTTGGAAGTCACGCTCCTGGTGCTCCAGCTCCTCCCCCTCCAACACCTCCACAGTGTGACCACTCGCTAGCTGGGTCATCCTTAACCTAGAATATATAAGTCATGCAAGCAATGTAACCCTTCATTCATATCGTCAAGGGTAGCTGTAGAAATGTATGACCCTATCTACCTTGTGTAGCTTCCGGGTATCAACGGACTCACAGCCCGGTCTCCGACCAGGCCTTCCGATTGGTCGTCTATTCAACCAGGTTGTTGGACGCGGCTGTTCCCAGCCTGGTTGATCTGGTATTCTTTAGGATACCTGATCAATGTCATATTCTTTAGAATACCTGATCTATGTTAATCATTAAGTCATAAAATAATAATCATAGAATAAGAATAATCAACCTGAGCTATCAATACCTATGTTTGTTAAAACAAAAATCTCACAAGAAAGCTTAGTGACAAAACTGTTTAGTGTAGTTCATTTATTATGCACCCCATACCCATCCTACGGGCGTTAGCGTGAAGAGTTACAGAGTCACATAATGGGTTCCGAGACTAAACTCTAAAATTTATTTTTTATTAAATTTACTTTTATATCTACATACAAGAAGGTACATTGGGTTTATGAAAGTACATAGCATTGATGTTTATACATTCTTGCAAAGCCACTAACACGCATAGTGTTTCGGGAAGAAGCAAGTAACTGTATTTAACAAGTTATTTAGCTAAGGAAGTTACAGTGCTGACAAGCTAGTTACACATTTTAATGTATATTACTATTATATCAGAAATGGGTTCGAGTCCGACCATAATATGGTCTCTAAGCTTAGTTACATACGCGGTGAGGTAATTTCATAAATTTATTTCCCTATTACACCCCCCCCCTACCATGTCCACCCTCCAGCCAGTGGGCAGCGATGGAATGGTTACAGTCACCCACATCTACTACTCACAGTTAGCAAACTGGCTATAATTTCTGGTAGTAGAATCACTTTCAATTAAATATTGTGAATTTCACAATAATTGCTAATTAATCTAAAAATCCGGAAAAAATGAAAGCTCAAGTGGAAATGATACAATAAAGCTACATAAAATTCTTGTTACCATTTATATATATACATTATACTCACGACTTTACTTTATGTTTCTAAGGAAAGGAGTTCCACGGTGCGACTCCTCTCAGGTGATCTAGACTGAGGAAGGTTGTCAAATGCCTCCAACACCACTACCCACCATGTTATAATGTATTTCCTGAAACGCTAATATTTCACACTATCACATGTCTGCCCTACACTAAATACTTTATCTTTATATATTGAATGCTATTCCACAGAACCTATTAATAATTCTCGAAATTGCTGTCCTATTAAATAACAAAAGTAGTGGGATTTATTTCCTATTATACACTTTGATGTAGATTATGCAGAAATAATAATTATCAATTTACGCAGCTCGGTTCCTGAGCCCATTTATAATTCAACCTCTGAATCTGGCTCAACTTTTTTCCACTGCCATTCACATTAAGATTGCAGAGTGCACAATACATTAAAACAATGCACGTTAACAAGGAGCTAACCACAATAATGTTGGCATATACACTGACTCATGACACAAACAATTACTCATTATTAACATGACATTATCATGGTAGCCGTGTACTACTTACTGTGGTGTCTCACGTCTTGGTATCTTCCCTCTCCACAGCACTAAACTTGCACCTCAGCACCTTCTCGTTCCTGGCAGGCAATTACAACAGCGCGACTACCCACCACAGCAACCACCACAGAACTGCCCGGTGAGGATGCTATCGGTCTGCTGGTCCCAACATTGCTTCATCACGGGCAAGGGTTCAAGGTCTCCCCATGTTTAGTCGATGAGACGTCATCTCCAGTCCTTAAACAAACGCAAGATAATTAGAGTTTTTTATACAACCTCTGTGCGCGGCGTTTGGTATCAATGATGTATTACGTATTATGAGCGGGTCTTCTTAGCGGTGAGGGTTGCTCTAGGCAACAGCAGTTTGTGGGCGGACAATACGCGGTCTCATTGCCAACGATGCAACCTCGTTACTACGATGTTGTTGGTCTGAATGCTTCGCACTGGAGAAACATCTCATCTAATGCGCTGTGTCAAGATAGACCATTTACAGGGATGTGTCCGTACCCCAATTCTCGATGAGTATACATTGAGAGTTTACTTTAGTCCTAAATTAATTTGTCATATGAAAAATATATACAAATTATAAAACTGTAGGTGTACTCTCAGATATATAATCCTATGTTCTTCACCCTACCTTATATTATTCACAGGATGGGTATGGAGTGCTTCTATAACCATTTCTACCACTTTTGTTCCATCAATCATTTCTATCCCATTCCAATGGGATACATAATAAACTAATTAAATAAATAAATAAACATATCAATTCAGTAAAAACTTAACCACTATAGTGATGAGGTCAGGATTAGTATCATTGTAGAATTTCAAAGATACGGAGAGTTTTACATTTATAATAGTAATAATAATAATACCTTATTTACATAATATAATGTACATAGGATCTATTACAGTGGTCACTTAGTAGGGCTTCCCTGCCTTATATAAGACAAATGTATTTACTACACACAGAAATCACAATAATATGATGCATCAAATGAACAAATCCACAAGGGCCGTGACGAGGATTCGAACCTACGTCCGAGAGCATCCCAGACGCTGCCTTAATCGACTGAGTTTCAATTCCTTGACATGGTCAAAAGAATTGAGACCAGAAGTTATATTGAACTTACTTGGATCCTGCAGCCTCTCCGAGACACAAACCAGGGTTTTACACAATTCTCCCTGGTTTGTGCGAAGTTAATAATGTTGCATTTTTAACTCTCAAAAATTACAAGAATTCTGTTAAAGCTTTACTTTAATCATGAAGAATTCATAAAATATAAAACATAATTAAATGATTGCTGAAAGAGAACTTAAAACAATTTTACATTCTACAGGGTGGATTCTTTTATAAAATGGGTATACTGCAAGGATAAGCCTCAGTGGCGAGTCTAGCCTAGCACCAAAACAAAACGTATACTTATTATTATTAGCATCTTTACTGACAAAATTTAATTACAATTTTGCCTAATCTGAGGATTTCAATTAAGTCTTATTAAAGTGAGGATAATGCTGGTATTCACTGTCACACATGACAGAGGGTCATACGCTAGAAAATAGGTCTAAACTGTAGGCTGAAGCACATATATATCATGGTTAGAATCATTGTTTTAATGTATTAATATGTAAAATCAACTTTCCATTGTGCACTGCCACACAAGGACAGGGATGGATTTATAAGAGAGGCAGCTTAAAAATAATATAAATAATGTTTTTCATTTTTAAAATGGACAAGCAAATTTTGGATAAATTGTTAGGATGTCGTCCAGTACACCAGATTCAATGAAATAGTTACACAGTTGGTGGTACAATAGGCCAGGAGGTCTAAAATCTTTTACAGTTTCACATTCAACAATATAGTGTTCTAGTAAATACATTAAAGGTTTGTCACAGGGTTTACACTTTGAATATTCTGGTAGTGACTCAGACTATACTGCGGTTAACACATTTGACTCCTCCAGTGAGTTACATATTCCCTTCATGAGGAGTATTTGAAGGAAGCGCCGAAGTCTTGGATGTGCTTCTTGGTCCACTGGTCAACTTTTGCTTGCTGTTCCGGACTGAGACGTTTCTGGCCATCTCCAATCACACCTGATGCATACGAAGTTTCGGTATTTTTAAATACAAGGTAACGATATATAAAAACACTTACTTTAAGAGTTTAAAACTAACTTTACGAGTTGGTTACTAAATCAATGTTGTAATCAACTTGACACTTATTAACACGAATTTCTCCATAACAAATAAGTTTTTGAAAATGTTAATCATTTTGAACCCTTGTGATTGCTAAAAATAATTCAGATATAAAATTATTAAAATAACAACGTAAATTATTAAATAACGTAAAATAATGAGTAAAGTTTTAGTTACTAGAAGTCTACTAATTTAGCGTTCAAAGCTAAAACCTCATTGTGATCAACGACCATTCGAACGACCTCGCATTTTCCAAGAAGATTTAGAGCAAAGGTCTAACCACAACATTAACACTGTCATGGGGTATTAGACAAAGCTAAATACATACAAAATTCTGCAATACTCAAGACCATGAAATAAATGAACTTTATAATGGTACATGACGGACCGAAACGTTGTTTCTTCATTCTCTGGTGTGTGGTTTGGTCATTGTCATTATATTTATAAATCTAAGAGAAAAGATTTTATACATATTTTACCTTGTGACAGTTATCACGTGTAATCAACCAATCTAATTTATGGCTTGTTACATAAACTCTATAAAATTAGTTCAGAATTCATTACATTCCTTTATTGTGAGAAAATATTAATTTCCCCCACGCATTTGCAAATAATTCTGCCCATCCTCCTGTTTTGGTAGTACTTATAGTAACGATGAGGTCCATAGTATATATTCCGACGTACAACGAAATTAGAAAGTAGAAATCTGAACTATTGAGTTGGACAAACCGGAAAACTATTTGTTTACTTTTGTTGCTTTGACAAATATAACCTAACCTTCCTAGGCCTAATACACGATATCTGAGGCCTAGTATAGTACATATGTGTGCTATACTAGGCTTAGGGATATTTAAGTTTGTTTTTTAGCTTCATTTATTTTAAAATAATTCCATACTAGTCAGTATACTATTATCTAAAAGGTAAGTACGTACGAATTAGTGACTACTGATGACCGTCACAATAGGTACTATTTAAACAGGAAGATGGGTTGAAATAATTATATTTTCCGATGCCAGACATAATAACACGTTCCTTCAATCTCACCTCACTACAATCACTTATGCGGCGTGCCCACATGACGACGGTAGAAGATGCGCGCAGCTTATACAAACATTCACGATACCATATACACATTAACCCCATGTTATTTAATGTACTCTAATTTACCCTACCATAATCCACCCCTAATCTATCTGATTTGCGACTAACTCCCAAACATACTTCGACTCACAATCTCAGTCTCTTGAATAAAACATAAACTTTTCATAAAACAGTATCACTGATACGACCATTAACACAACTCCTCATCTTTGCCATCCTGAGTCCAATTCCACTCATATGTTATTTTTTTCATTATCCTCACACAAATAGAAGACGTCGATAACTTCTAACCTCTGCCAAATTATGAACATTGATGTGCCACTGTGAGTGCCGCATCTTTCAACACCACCACTCGTGCAGTCATTGGGAGGAAAAACCTGCATGCAAACTGCACTTATCGCGATGAAGAGGAGACAGTCACTTATCTGTTTATCCGCATGACACGTGGACTAATGATCTCAGATACTACCAGTAAGAGAGATTTGCACCTTAAGGTACATGCCAACTGGTCTGAAAGGTCTAATAACTGGGCATTCATCAGTTCCTGCTCACTAGCAAAATAACATGGCACCTAGAGAAGAAAAGTGAGTGCGCTGATGATCAATTCAGTGTTGTAGTTCTTGCCGATATCTCCCGCACCACTGGACACCCATGTATTGACTTAGGCCAGTCACGAGAACAAACAATATCTACTCAAGAACATCACTTAATTAATAAAATTGTAAAGTTACTGAGGAGCTTAATGAATAATAAATGCATGTACTAACCCTTCCTGAAAAAGCCGCCGTCGCTAGACAGCACCTGCTTGTTGGGAGAAGATAACAACTCTAATTTCTTCTCCTCCCGAGATTTCATCTCGCTGAAGCTGGTGTAATGCGCCACCTGCGAGGAATGTTAACTCTTATTTAATGAACCTTCCACCAGCCTAATATTGTCTTATTTTGGTATATTACACCATCTAACCTCAAGTAATTTCTAATTGGAACACTGCCACACAAATGATTCAGCATAATACCGTAGGGAAGAGAAGATGTACACAGTTTTGCCGCAGTGAGAGCATCATGCCACCACACAAACTGAAGCCAGTGGCGTAGCCTGGTTCCAAAGTTAGGGAAAGCGAGCCTTCACTTGAGGTAAAAGACGCCAGGACACGTACTAATTTCTAATTTATTATTCATTTTTATTGTGTATTTAAAATCAAAACAAAGAAAATTCAGTTTTAAAGAATACATAATTGTTACTTTGTATTTAAGCTCAAAACAATTAAAACGTGTTAAATTATTGTGCATTTTAAACGTTAAAACAGAAAGAACCAAATAAAAAATGTATAAAGCAACTACTAGTCTTTTTCGTCTGTTTTTTGTTATTAACAAGCTTAAGTATACACATCAATGTGCTGCTACCCTGTTCTGTATGAAAGAGTATGGAATCAGGCGAGAACATGAAATATACGGCTGATCTATTAGCCTCCACAAGCAAAATCTGGGTCGAGCACAAGAATATCTAGGCTTCATTCTTGCAAAGGTATCTACTACTTTATTATAATCCAACTCAGTAGCTAACTGTCTATATGCACTTATAAATTGCGTTTTAATTTATTAATTAAACCTGAACAGATTTTCTCTCATAAAAGGTTTATTATTTCATAATTAGAACTTACAGTAATAAATATTTCCCACTGCCACAAAATGGGTCGGGTGCATGAGTCAGCCTTGGACTATGGTCGGCCATTGGACTTCAAAAATAGTTTATACGTTTATGATATTTCTTAAGGATCTACCTCCTGGAGATGTAGAGCTGTACGATAACCGTTCCGATACATAAGTTCAGTATCACAGTTTAATTTACGAGTGCCAGAACTTTCAGGACGGAAAAGGACATTAATGCCTTTGATCAGAACGTCTGATGGGTCCACCCCTCCCCCAATTTGTTGTATTTGTATAGTACGAACATTTCTCATTTTATGAGATTGCAGGACACGAGAGTCTACATTAGCCTGCCACTTTATTATTTTTTTATTTGATTTTGCTATTACACTTTATTCCCAAACAGGTGACTGTTTTCTAAAGTAGTTTTTCAAGTCCAAGGTCGCGACCCATTACTAGCTCCTAGGGCACTATTTTTTAACACACAATTAGAATTAAGGCAGCAGAATTAAAATTAATTAGTGCATAAATCTACTAATAACAACAATAAGTAATAAAACTAAGTACATTATATATATAATTTAATTTCAGATAAAAATATAGTATATCTATTGCCTCTTAGTTTTCCGAAATTAATTTAACTTGCACCTTTTCTCCGATGGGATTATCTGCTACCGGAAACTCCGAACTAACCTTCTGCAGCTGCTCCTCCGTCAGGTTGGTGTCTAAGAACTTGTTGAGCTTATGAAGTTCCAACATTGTATTGGTCTTGACATCCTCAAAAAATACGAAGTGCATGTTAGGATGGTCGCGCTTCTCCCAGGCTTCCTTCATGTGGAGCCAGTACGGCCCGAACACCACTGCCAACATCATAAAAACAAAGAAAATTACAGTAGGTCTTTTGACACATGAGGCAGCTATTGTTTATACGTAACTGAACTCATGATTCATGTATAACCTTCCATTTAAAACATCCTGTGATCTAACACCTATTACTCAGAAATTTTTCCATATACGGTACTGTTACGAATCTTACTAGGATTCTGCCATTGCTCTTGATTCTTTTATTTCTTTATTTTCTTGTTCTCTAATTAATATAGCATCCAGTTGTATGATATGAGATTTTTGTATGACATATATTATAGCATGCGGTAGTGTGCCTGAGTTGCATTATACTGTATGAGGCTTTTGTGTTAGATTTCTCTGTGTGGACGGTTGACCATATTTGGATATGGCCAGTGTGGGAACATTGTTGTCAAGCGAGTGTTTATAGTTTAACCTTGATTAATTTTCCCATATTTGGTTGCCGTATTATTGTATTGAGTGATGTACCAGTTTTTATTACCCTTAAGATTAATAATGTTTTGAATATTAGTACTACATTTTGTTAGTAGAATTTCCACAATGTTTATGTGGATATTTAATTGATATTTTGGTAGACGCTTGGCCTGCGGACCAAAGCGTGGGGAGAAGCGTGGCAGATATTGTCGAGAGGAGTCGTGTTTTAAGTTAAGTCATTGGTCACTGTTATTTTAGCCCATATAAATGTTAATTATCTGGTTAGATGATTTGTGTATAACTATTGATTAATCCATGTGCTGGTGTTAGTGCTAATGTCTCAATAAGGAGGTTATTCTATGATTTTGCATGCTGAAGAATATTTCTGGCTATTATTTATACATTTAATTGTTGTTATGTTTCTCCCCCTTAGCATAAATTTATTGTTCTCCATTTTATGCAGTGATGTATCTATACCCCTAGACATCTGTTGGCAAGGCCGATTTATTATCATTTCTTTACACTGCGGGGAGAAGAACCTTATTTAGTCTCAAGGGTGGTAACAGGTACTTAAAACCATATTCCCAAACCAATATTTACTCATGTCTTTTCGGAATCCTAAACTTATTCCATTTGTATCTACAGTTTCGTGCCCAGTTTTGAGTAGATATATTTAGCACCTTATTAACGTTTAATAAATTATAATCTACATTCAGTAATATATAATCAGGAATCTAATTTAATAATTTTTATAGAGAAAAACATTAAAAGCCGATAATGAGGTTATTACAAAAATACAATGCAGAGATTATGAAACATTGTAAAAATGCATTGTGCAAGTTTTGATCCTACTTTCCGCTACTTGGAACTGTAATGTGATTAGTTAGGTTCCGTTATTCCCTTTAAATTATCCGTGTTTCTTGTATTGATGATGTGTTGTGTCAGTTATGGGGCAATGTGTGCCTTATGTAGGATAAACTAGAAGAATTTAATAAATCTGAACTTGAATAACTAAAACAAAGACATCAGTTTCAGACTCCTGAAGGCGACTGACAATTATCAGTGCTAAACAATATTTAAAGAAAAACAAATGAGAGTCGATATACAATTCTATACTTCTACATTTCTGATGCAGGAAACCCAAAGATACTCACAGTTGTCGTCCAGGAAATACTGGACGAATTGGTCGAGGGAGCCGGTGAAGTCTTGAAGGCGGAAGAGACGACAGTGGTGATGGCAGGATACGACCACGTCCTTGGGAGACCTCGCCACGTACACCACCTACACGTGCATGACAGACTACCATGTACACATTCTGGGTACCAATATATTTTTGTAACTCGGGTGGGTACAGGAACTGACGACATCCGACTTCTGTTATCAGAAAGAGTGCTTTCCCTTCCCATAGCTCAAGGTAAACCTTAGTCAATATATTTCCCTGGAACACGACCCGCCAATCTATTTATAACCAGGTACCCAGTTACTGCTGGGTGAACAGAGGCGACTAGTTAAGGATTGGGGCTCTTGACAATCCTCTATAGCCAGAAGTCTAACCTAGACCAAATCACTCGCAAGACGTGGGGCGAGTATGTCATAACCCCACTACACTGCATGTAGTACAATAGTCTAACCCCGCACAAGGAACAGTAGGTAGTATACAACAGTTTGTGACTGAACTGTCAATACTACGCACGCCATTACCAACACCCACCGAAGGCATCGCCTACGTCAACACCAACAAGGATTAACGATACGAGCCACGTTTCTGTTCGTTACAGACTGAAAAACAATATATTACCATTCAGATGGGCAACAACTCTTTCTTTTGTAATCGCAGTTTCAATTATTAAGATTACTTTATATAATCACAATTTCCAATGCATTTAAAAAAGAACAGTTTGTCATGGTTTCCCACAAACTAATTTAACTCCTAAATTTGGCGAGAACAATTAGTCGCGTCTACAACCAGTAAGAACTACAGAACACGCGTGGACACGAAAACTCTGATTCATCAATCATTTACTTATTCACTTGTGAGTTATGAAACTATGCGAATTTGTTGTGCAATGTTGTGGTCATTATTAACAAAATTCTTTCCTCCAATTTATATAAAAAAAAAAGTAAATCCATAGATGTTGCAAATGCAAACAAATTTGTACCAGCTGTCATTATAGTTAGAAGGTGTGCAGTTTAGATGTAATTGTTAATATCAATTTCATTGCTGAAGTCTAATTAAGAGCTTTTTTGCCCTCTGTATATTTTTTTTTATTTTATTTTTGCAAGACCGCACACAGGATGCAAGCTGTTCTACAAAGAACGTCGCTTTTAGCTCGTATGCGTTATACAAGGAAAAAATTGTCCTACTAGAAAATGGAAGCAACATGTGAAAGTGACGTACCGTTTACTGTTTTAGGTCCTCTGGTAGGTTAGGACAGAACCATTTAAATTGATCATTATCTTGACGTTTGGGAAACCTTAGGAGAACGGGCTGTACAGGATGAATAGGGAGTGCACAATAAACCAGCCGCCTCCGGTGGCAACTGTTATGGCCCCAGGTAGCCTGAAGAACGAGTCTACCCTTATGAGAGTTATTCGACAACAACCCGCACTTGACTATAAGCAAGTGCGAGAACGGGTTGTCGACAAACTAGACCCAACTGAGAGGTCAAAGGAAATAAAGATGTGTGCATATATATTAAATACTTGGCAAATGTTAATGAATAGTTTAAAAGCATTGGCAGAGGATGAACAGGCAAATAAGTGACATGACGAGATTTTGCTGACAAGGTATGAGGCTCACTGTGGATGTCATGACCTCACTTGAGCAGCAGAGGTCGTGAGAGGAGGTTGTACTGTGTTTGTGCTCCTGGCAGTAAAGGAGGAACTCCTAGTTGAGTGTTCCGTCAAGAAGAGAGACAGCGTAATAGAGAAATTCTCAAGAAGAGAACCAGTTCTCAAGAGTTCTCAAGAAGAGAACCAGTCAAGCGTTTATGTATGAAGCCTGAGGACGACCTAAAGCGATCAAGTCAGGACTGGAAGGAGCCTTGTGAGGCAGTCCTATAGCGATTTTGTGGGCAACCCATGGGCGCCGTTATAAGGATCGAGACCTGAGCGCCCTCGACAGATAAATTCTGTGGTAAGCCTATTTAATAACTTGTTGCAGTGGCTGCCTGTGATTGATCGTGAGAAGTGTTTATGAATATATTAGATATGTTTTATTAAGGCAGTAAGCTGAAATAAGAGTGTAGTGGTCAGGGAGCCAGCTGGAAGAGGCGGCGATGCGTCCGCCCTCGCCGAGTGTCAGTGGATGACTGAGGGCGGAGAGCTCATGACGGCAGCGGCTCCCAGCAAGGTGGAGCATGGACTCGACTGGACGGGGGAGTATCTTCGCAACATGTTAGTTTTGAAATTACAGGTTTGTTTTGGAGGAAGAGTTGATGGAAGAACTTCGAGGCCAGGGAAGAAGTTAATGGAGGAAACTTCGAGGCTGTAGAAGTGAATGCTGAACCCTGTGGGAGAGCAGAACCTCATAGTGAGGAGTGGACCTCAAGCCGTGTAGAAAAGCAGTGAAGAAGGGTTTCATACGTTTCTGTGGGATCAATGGTGAAGCATCGCTGATGTTTGATGAGAACTTCATTGTGTAGCAGTTTGGGAGGACTGCAGAAGAGCCTTGTTGACAATTAGGGGAGAACCTAGAGATGTACGTGGTAGTGAGCCTATAGGAGCAGAACAGAGGTTCATGGTGATCACACATGATGTATAAGGGGAGTGCTTGAATGTTTATTGGCGTATAAGACGCAGTGGAAGGCGAGAGATTGATTTCTTTTTGTATTGGGGAATATATTGATGTTTCTGGTGTCTCAGCCACAGGCTGAGCTTTATATACTTTCAGGACTGACTGTACAATATTGTTGTAACGAGTGGTGTTTCAGATACATGCTGAATTTTATATATTTCTAGAGCTGAGTGTACAATAGTGTTGTGACAAATATTGCAGTCCCCACTTGGTGAGGGAGTAGTAAGTGGTAAGCCAAGAGTGAAGCAGCCATTTGATACAGATGGTTGGTGAAGCCAGGATATGGTATTGGATTGCTACCAGGTTGTAGTAGCTTAGAGTGTTGTATGGTAATGTTTTATTGTTCTTGTTTCGTGTACTGTATATGTTCTTTCGTTTATTAAATGTATATTGTTAACCGGCTTTTGCTCTTGTCCTGGTGAGGCTTCCCAGAAAGCAGAAGAGAGAGAGAGAGAGAGAAGGAGAATCACAGCTGCGGACAGGGTGGCTAATTTACAAAAATACTTATTTACAAAAGGGGGATTGAGGAGATCATTCCAAACAAGGAGAGAGTGTGGAGTCATGGCGGCTCAGGTAGGGTGTGTGCACAGGACAACGAGGCCAGTGTTGGAGCCGCAGCCCTAGATATGTGAAGCTGAACCCCTCTCGAAGATCAAAAGGCGTACAGGGTGATCTGAGAGAACTTCAAGCACTCCAGAGTTCATTATTGGTCGACCGGCGGTAGCGGGAGTGTGGCTGCTGAGGTCGGTTGTCTGTTCCAATAGAAAGTGATTAGAGGGACGTTGTCCACCTGTACGCAAGTAACCGTCTGGTGCAGCAACCATAGTTCTCCTTGACTGTTGAAGTTCCATGAACCCCAACCCCCTCAGGTCAGGACACAACACTGAAATCAAGCTTACTATGGACAACCTCTTAACGCTTTGGAGCTCATAAACCGTTTAATAAATATAAACTAAGCCACCAGGATAGAGACAAAATGTACAGGTCTTTTTAAAGGAAATAAAGTGTTTGCTGAATCCTGGTGCAGCGTCCCTGGCCTGACCTTAGCAGTGTCCAGAAGATCCGGAGTGAGGAGAGAGAAGGGCAGGTGGGTCTTGATGGTCCGTGGATCAGGTAACGCCTCCGACAGTTGCAACATTATTCCATCCTTGGGGTCCTTACCAGGACACTTTACTTTAAATGCTTTTATTACAGGATGGCTATCATCTTTCGGTGGAACGTTCTTTGAGAACGCCAACATATCGTAACTGGAAGCAAATTTAATAAAATTATAGGTAAAAAGAAAATTTGGTTTGAAATAAGGTAACTAATAATCCAGTACTAAGAAAGGCGGTTTGGGGTTAGATACACATGTTTTACTTAGGGACAACCCTCTTTGTAACACATCAACGATACAGATAAAAGTTACAACTCGTATCCTCAAATTTGATGAAGTGGGAAACGATATGATACTTGCAAAACTATCTTCGTGAATTACTCACATGGTTAGAAAAATTGGCAGATGCCTTCATTATTGAAAAATCAGAGATCTTGCATGACTTACGTCAAGAGATGGTTTCCTTCCTGGAAGAAGCACACAAACCTGCTGAGTAATTATTAGAGAGGGACCAAGCTCTCAGGCGGCATTTATTGATCTCCAAACTGCTTTTGATACAGCAAACAGAAATAATCATAGAACAACTAGCTTATTTTGGAGTTAAGGAAAGACTATTGACATGGCTCAGGGGTTACCTGAGTAACAGAACCGCCTCAGTCCTTTTCTAGGGGGTCAAAAGTAAACATTGTGCACCCTTTAAGTTGGGTACACCCCAGGGTGGAGTGCTAAGCTCTACACTGTTCAATGTTCTGATGCACAAATTAACAATTGATATGTCCACACTACTTGACGAATCCGTCATCTGTTATGCCGATGGCATATTCATTGTTGCCAATACCCGAACAAGTGAATCATTTGATTCACTTGTTGCTAAAAGCATTGAATGTGGTCTTATTATCTCTATAACAAAATCCAGAGCTGTCCATCCCCAGGATAAAACTCATGTCCCTATAACTTTCAAGGGCAACAACCAGAAAATTGAAACGTGTAGGCAGCACAAATACCTTGGAGTTGGTATCAACAGTGACATTGTAAACGATCTACACCGTAGGTTAAAAGAAATACTAAAACCATTGAAAACACTTACTGGTAAGAATATTGGTATCAATATTAAATATGCTAGACTATTCTATATGATGTTTGTTAGATTTCTAGTTGAGTATCATGCTTTGCACCTAATTACTTCCCCGCCTCTGTGTTGGACAAACTTGAAGTAGTACAGAATGAAGCCATGAGGATAATTCTTGGTGCCCCCAAGATGCACAAGAATCATCAACATGAGGGAAGAACTGAAGCGTCCAACCATACTAGAGAGAATCATGCAAGTCAACACGACCTTTTCCTATTTATTGCGTGCATCTACTTCCTCATCACAATCGACTTGAGAATGGTCCAGGACGGACCGAAACGTCGTCGTCCCTTCATCTTCCAGTGTGTGGTCTGGTCAACATACTTTAGCCACGTTATTGGGACTCATCGCCTGTACATATATATATATATATATATATATATATATATATATATATATATATATATATATATATATATATATATATATATATATATATATATATATATATATATATATATATATATATAGCAATATATATATATATATAATCACCTCACCCAATAGAGTATAAGTACGATGGATGAATTTGTGTATAAATTAAGCCTTTGAAAATTTAATAAGTCATTACGAAACGCGTTCAGGCGTCATCCAAGTTACACCATTGTTTCGTGTTCTGTCTTGTGTTTGTCAAAAGTTTGTTCACCTCACCCAAAACTTGGGGTAGAGAGGGAAATGAGTGGGGGATGGAGAGGCACAGAGAGGGCCAAAAGAGGGACTGTCCAGCAACCAGGGGTATCTTAACTCTACGGTTTATGACCGTTGAGGGCCGGACTTTGACAAAGGTGAGGGGAGGGTGAAGGCAATAAGGGAAAGAATGAACAACGAAAGGGAAGACGAACGAGGGCAAGGGAAGAAAGGAGACGGGGAGAGAGGAGAAAGTGGAGAGGGGAAAAAGGGGAGAGGGGAGAATCAATGGTCTGAGCGCAGATCATTACACTGTGAGGGGTAGCAACAACAAAAAAATATTACAGAGGGCACAAATGGTCTTTATCAGACGCTTAGATTATTACATTAACACGTCAATCCTTCACACTCAATCTAACATTCCCTGGATGACGACAATTTAGTTTTTAGTAGAAATTGAAACCGATTCCAGAGACTGGTATTTAGGAAAAAATCTGAGTAATGTTAACGCTTTTATAAAAAAAATGGGGGTCTGGGGTTCTCTGAGATAATGGTTTGTCATAATAATAAGGGATACACATAGGTCGAGATCAGGTGTAGATTGTGGTTTTTATACCGAGTGGGTAAATGTTGGCGACCGTGTGTGAGGATGCAACACATGAAATTCGGGTTCTGGAAGAATAAACCGAGGGTCCGCGTAGTGAAGATGCTGCAATGATGGAAATAATGTACAGAGAAAACATGCCAATGATGGACGTCGTGAGTAGTGAGGATGACCCAAGGCCATGCCCAGCCTCGGCAAGGACAGCTACTTACTCAAGGAAGGGAGAGCGAGCCATGACTGACTGGCTGGCTAAGGGATGATCCAAGTCAGGATTGTTCCTCATGGTCCAGACGATCTCCTGCATCCATGTTGTTCCACACTTTGGCCACGTCATCACCACCACATCACTTTCACAAAACTTTAAAGATAAAATGCAATTGAGTGAATATAAATAATTATAAAAAACGCACAAAATCCTTTAAAATATCTTCAACGTCTGTGTCACTTAAATTAAAACATTCTTTGATGTAATTTAGGATGTCAAATGAAGAACAAAAATTAAAGGGACCAGCGGTTAAAGGCATCAGATTCTTTTGATGCAGGACAGCTACTGTAATTTTGTTCCTGTTGCGACCCTGGGTTTTTATTTGGAAACCAGAGATCAATTTAAGTAATAAATAATTGTAGATATTAATTCATAAGATTGGATCATGTGAGAAGGATGTTTAATTAACAGCAACATTTACATTCATGGCTTCTTAAAACCTGGGTATGCATTTGTTCCCGTCTTCCTTGCCAGACGTAAGACGAATCTTGTTACAGAACATTCAGACTCTGTGCTTGTTGATTATTAAATATAATATAAAGCTAGATATCAGCTATTCTTAGAATTGTTAAAGTAATTAGTAATGAATGTCTGGGAATACTTGTGATGATTGCTACCATACGATCAGTTGAGTATCCGCCGGCAACATCATTGTAGGCTGAGAGAGCTGCTTGCTGGGCTACCTCTGTGGCTGCTGTGGTGGTGACTACACCTCTCCTGTGGACTCTGTTCTCCTCCTCCTCCTCCTCCTCCTCCTTTCTTCTCTCCCTATACCCTATGTCCAAGATAAGTACCTTTTTCCGATTTTACCATGCTACTAGTTAGATGTATGTTTAAGAGAATGTGTATTCTTAGCCAGTGATTTGGTATCCCTAATTGTACTCTAGGGTGACTGGGGAACCACGTGTGCTAAAGTTTACCCAGGCTACCTTGAGCCTTTACAACTGCCCTTTTCAAAGTAGTCTTTACCTTAGTTTGCAATTGTAAACCTTGCATCCTGCTTATATGGACCAAGGTGTTTAATGTAAGGTAGAGTGGAAAAGTGATTTACTGTAGTTTGTATATGTGGGGGTTATTAGAGGGTTTAATAAATAAGGGATAAGCTAGGGGTATCTTTTCATCCTGTTGAAATGGAGTAGATGATCTACCTTAGACAGCAGAAGTTAATCTAGCCAAGCAAAGGGCACAGAAGCAGTCCCTTCCTCTCTCATGCACACATATGTAGCCTACATTCCATACAGATATATACAGATCATGCATACAGATATAGCTTATGTGGAAAATTCCACTCACCATATCCATATTATTACCTAAGGAATGTAAATATTTCCGTATCATATTGATAGTTTACCTCAGAATCATATTACTGATGGTTTAAGGATCATCTGTATGTACATCAGGAGCTTTCATGACCATTTGGTCAAGTATGCCATTGGGTTCAATGCGTGTGACTATGTCCATGAAATATCAAGAATCTAGAAGCTTGCAGAAGGAGCAAATAATAAGAAACATATTGTTGGAACAAAATAATAGCTTCCTGTGACATATTTACAAAATCCTTAATAACGACCAAATTGTACTATCACGTACTGTCAATAATCATTAAATTCACTAGGTGTTTATCTTGTGATATAACTTTATCATTTCATAACTTTATCATAATCATTGTCGGCAACCTGACTGTGAGGAAGGGAGCCGTCCGCCTGGGGAAGAAGCGCCCAGTACCGGAGGGAAGTTTGTTGACATTTTTGTGTGCACGTGTGTGGTGTTGATAACATTTTCAACGGACATTAACGCACAAACTACTTATCTAATTACCAGTGATAATTCCCTAGATACTCGGGAAGTCCTTGATCTATAATCTAATCTGTAATTTAATCATTAGAACTCTTATTAAGAGGAGTGAAGTCGAGCTCGAGTGCTAGGAGTCTCGACAAGTTTCCTTCATTGTGACCTCATCCTATCAACTGCTTCAAGAAGCCATCAAACAGCAAACGCTACCAGGGACATGACCAACATGAAGGCTGCCATATCCCAATCAAAATATAGAGCCTCGTTTCAACAAGAGTAATATCAGCTGACAACTTGCCAGATTAGGCTCCGGTTCTCAGTTTCAGAATAAGTTATTCATTTTTTTAGAGAGCAGAGTGGCCACTAGTATACTTTATGACCTTAATACATCCATATATAAATTGAGAGTCGTTAGGCAGCAAGGAGGCAACGCCTCACCAATTAGTGAGTTGATTTACCTTCTTCAGTGACTGAATCTCTTATTGCTGCATATTCATGTAAATCTGAATATCTATATCTTGAATATATAATTCTTTAGTATAACTCGTCATGCATTTAATTGCCATATCCATTAATCTTAAATGATCAAATTAGTTTATTTTATTGCATATAATATTTTCTTTGCATATTGCCCATACATTATACTTGTATTATACAACTACTTTATTGAGAGTATCAGAACAATTGATAATTGACTTTTACAATATTTCTAGAGCTAGGTTAAACTATGTACCTAGTTCAGATCTTTGATAATGAACCGTACCTGTGTTTACAGTTATAGAACTGTAAATTATCATATTCTTGTATAAAATACAAGCTAAATGTGTCGAAATACCCGCTTAATGCACAGAAGAAAAAATAATTGAAGTAGTCTATAGATATATATTGGTCACATTTTTCAGTCCCCCCAATTAAGACTAATTTCCCACCTTGAACTTGAAGAGGCTGTCGGCAAATTTGGTGTAGTCTGCCGGGTATAGCCACCTGCCGGGGTTGAGGCGGATAAGGCCATTGGTATAACCTTGGAAGTCACGCTCCTGGTGCTCCAGCTCCTCCCCCTCCAACACCTCCACAGTGTGACCACTCGCTAGCTGGGTCATCCTTAACCTAGAATATATAAGTCACATAATTTAATTTATTAATTTAAGAGTTAGTCACATAACGGGCTCCGCTAACATTTCACACTTATGTAAATACATAGCTTTGGTGTTTATGCATTCTTGCAAAGCCACTAACACGGCATAGTGTTTCGGGAAGAAGCAAGTAACTGTATTTAACAGTTACTTGTTTACTACTGTTACTTGCTGTTAACTACTCTGACACTGAAAGTTCTTTCTAACGTCCCTGTGGCTCATTTGGGTACTCAGTTTCCACCTGTGTCCCCTTGTTCGCGTACCACCCGTATTAAACAGTTTATCTTTATCTACCCTGTCAATTCCTCTGAGAATTTTGTAGGTAGTGATCATGTCTCCCCTTACTCCTCTGTCTTCCTGTGTCGTGAGGTACATTCCCGCAGCCTTTCCTCGTAACTCATCCCATAACTAAGAGGCATGAGTTACGAGGAAAGGCTGCGGGAAATGCACCTCACGACACTGGAAGACAGAAGAGTAAAGGGAGACATGATCACTACCTACAAAATTCTCAGAGGAATTGACAGGGTAGATAAAGATAAACTGTTTAACACGGGTGGTACGCGAACAAGGGGACACAGGTGGAAACTGAGTACCCAAATGAGCCACAGGGACGTTAGAAAAAACTTTTTCAGTGTCAGAGTAGTTAACAGGTGGAATGCATTAGGCAGTGATGCCTAAGTGATGAAGGCTGACTCCATACACAGTTTCAAATGTAGATACGATAGATCCCAGTAGGCTCAGGAATCTGCACACCAGTTGAGTGACAGTTGAGAGGCGGGACCAAAAAGCCAGAGTACAACTCCCCCCCCCCCCCGCAAGCACAACTAGGTGAGAACACTATCACATGTTTGCCCTGCACTAAATACTTTATCTTTATACAATGAATGCCATTCCACAGTACCTATTAATAATTCTCGAAGTTGCTGTCCTATTAAATAACAAAAGAAGCGAGATTTATTTTCCTATTATACACTTTGATGTAGATTATACAGAAATAATACTAAATTATTATCAATTTACGCAGCTCTGATCACAAACCCGCTATCTGCCTCAACTTTTTCCACTGCCACTCACAGTAAGATTACAGAGTACACAATACATTAAAACAATGCACGTTAACAAGGAGCTAACCACAATTATGATGGCATATACACTGACTCGTGACACAAACAATTACTCATTATTAACATGACATCATCATGGTAGCCATGTACTACTTACTGTGGTGTCTCACGTCTTGGTATCTTCCCTCTCCACAGCACCAAACTTGCACCTCAGCACCTCCCCGTTCCTGGCAGGCAATTACAACAGCGCGACTACCCAGCATAGCAACCACCACAGAACTGCCCGGCGAGGATGCTATCGGTCTGCTGGTCCCAACATTGCTTCGTCACGGGCAAGGGTTCAAGGTCTCCCCATGTTTAGTCGATGAAACGTCATCTCCAGTCCGTAAACAAACGCAAGATAATTAGAACTTTTTATACAACCTCTGTGCACGGCGTTTGGTGTCAATGATGTATTATGAGCGGGTCTTCTTAGCGGTGAGGGTTGCTCTAGGCAACCCTAGAGCCGGCCTGTCCGCCCACAAACACCAGCAGTTTGTGGGCGGATCATATGCGGTCTCATCGCCAAAAATGCAACCTCGTTACTACGATGTTGTTGGTCTGAATGATTCGCACTGGAGAAACATCTCATCTAATGCGCTGTGTCAAGATAGACCATTTACAGGGATGTGTCCGTACCCCAATTATCGGTGAGTATACATTGAGGGTTTACTTTAGTCCAAAATTAATGTCATATGAATAATATATACAAATTATAAAACTGAAGGTGTACTCTCAGAAATTTAATCCTATGTTCCTCACCCTACCTTATATTATTCACAGGATGGGTATGGAGTGCTTCTATAACCATTTCAACCACTTCTGTACCATCTATCATTCTATTTATATCCCATTTCAATGGGATACATAATAAACTAATTAAATAAATAAACAGGTAAATTCAGGAAAATCTTAACCGCTAAAGTGATGAGGTCAGGATTAGTATCATTCTATAACTCTCCGATTCAAAGATATATATTTTTTTTTATTTTTACATGCAAAGCATGCAATTTAAATACAATAAAAACAATACAGAATACATAACAAAAGAAAACAATAGACCACCGGCCAGAAGGGCCGACAGCATAGCACAACAAAACACAAACACGAGAAAAGCATAGAAAAATACAGCATTCAGTCACTGAAGAAGGTAAATCAACTCACTAATTGGTGAGGCGTTGCCTCCTTGCTGCCTAACGACTCTCAATTTATATATGGATGTATTAAGGTCATAAAGCATACTAGTGGCCACTCTACTCTCTAAAAAAAATAACTTATTCTGAAACTGAGAACCGGAGCCTAATCTGGCAAGTTGTCAGCTGATATTTCTCTTGTTGAAACGAGGCTCTATATTTTGATCCTTAGAAGGTAATGGAGTGAGGAAGAACTTTGACATCTCCAAGAACCAAACTCGTTTTCAAAATATGCAAAGTTAATAATGTTGCACTTTTAACTCTCGAAAGGATATAAATTACAAGAATACTGTTAAATCTTTACTTTAATCACGAGGAATTCATAAAATATAAAACATAATTAAGTGATTGTTAAAAGATAATTTAAAACAATTTATCATTCTACAAGGTGGATTCTCTTATAAAACGGGAATACTGTAAGGATAAGCCTCAGTGGCGAGTTAGCCTAGCACCACAACAAAACTTATACTATGGTTGATTCACGTTGAGTATTTGAAGGCAGCGCCGAAGTCATGGGTGTGCTCCTTGGTCCACTGGTCAACTTTTGCTTGTTGTTCAGGACTGAGACGCTTCTGGCCATCTCCAATCACACCTGATGAACACAAAGTTTAGGCATTTTTAAGTCCAAGGTAACGATACATAAACACTTTACGAGTCTTTCACTCTTAAAACCAACTTTACAACATTGATTTAGTAACCAACTCGTAATCAAACTGACAATTATTAACACGAGTTTTTCCGTAACTCATAAGCTTTTGAAAATAATTCTATTGAACCTTTGTGATTGTTAAAAATAATTCAGATATAAAATTATTAAAATAACGTCTAACATAAATTATTAAAGAACGTAAAATAATGAGTAAAGCTTTAGTTATTAGAAATTTACTAATTTTGCGTTCAAAGCTAAAAACCTTATTGTGATTAACGACCATTCCAACCACCTTGCATTTTCCAAGAAGAATTAGAGCAAAGGTCAGACCATAAAATTAACAGTGTCATGGGGTATTAGGGAAAGCTAAATACATTCAAAGATTCTCCAATACTCAGACCGTTAAATAAATTAACTTTAATGATCCATGACGGACCGAAACGTCATTTCTTCATTCTCTGGTGCGTGGTTTGGTCATTGTCATTATATGTATAAATCTAAGGGAAAAGATTTTATGCATTTTACCTCGTGACAGTTATCACGTGTAATCAACCAATCTAATTTATTGCTTGCTTACACGAACTCTATAAAATTATTTCAGAGCTCATTACATTACTTTATTGTGAGAAAATATTAATTTCCCTCATGCATTTGCAAATAATTCTGCCCATCCTAATATTTTGGTAATACTTATAGTAACGATGAGGACCATAGTACATATACCGACGTACAACAAAATTAGAAAGTAGAAATCTGAACTATTGAGTTGGACAAACCGGAAAACTATTTTTTACTTTTGTTGCTTTGGCAAACCTAACCTAACCTTCCTAGGCTTAAAACACGATATCTGAGGCCTAGTATAGTACATGTGTGTGCTATACTAGGCATAGGAATATAAGTTTGTTTAAGCTTCATTTATTTTAAAAGAATTCCTTACTAGTCGGTAAACTACTATTTAAAAAGGTAAGTACGTACAAATTCGTGACTATATACGACCGTCACAATAGGTGCTATTTAAACAGGAGGATGGGTTGAAATAATTATATTGAAATTGAAATAAGATTATTGTGGTAAAATACACACAAAGGGATGAGGTAGCTCAAGCTATTCTCACCCCGTTCAGTACAACGTGAAACAAATTTGTACCAGCTGTCATTATAGTTAGGTGTGCAGTTTAGATGTAATTGTTAATATAAATTTCATTGTTGAAGTCTGATTAAATTAAGAGCTTTTTTGCCCTCTGTATATATTTTTTATTTTATTTTTGCAAGACCGCGCACAAGATTCAAGCTGTTCTACAAAGAACGTCGCTTTTAACTCGTATGCGTTACACAAGGCCAAAAATTGTTTTACTTGAAAAATGGAAGCAACTCGCGAAAGTGACGTACCGTTTACTGTTTTAGGTCCTCTGGTAGATTAGGACAGAACTATTTAAATTGATCATTATCTTGACGTTTGGGAAACCTTAGGAGAACGGGCTGTACAGGATGAATAGGGAGTGCACAATAAACTAGCCGCCTCCGGTGGCAACTGTTTTGGCCCCAGGTAGCCTGAAGAACGAGTCTACCCTTATGAGAGTTATTCGAGAAACTAGACCCAACTGAGAGGTCAAAGAAAATATAGATGTGTGCATATATATTAAATACTTGGTAAATGTTAATGAATAGTTTAAAAGCATGGGCAGAGGATTGTTATAGACTCGAGCCCAGCGTCCGAGCATGGAGCAGTGACGACAGCGCCATCTGTGGGTCAGCTCCCGAAACCCCCTCCAAATGGACGACGCCATCTAGTGAGGACAGGATATACCGGCCACAAGGGCTGGTTTCCCGTCCTGATCAGCTCATAACACAGCCGCTGCTGACCTCTGGTGAGGTGACGCTTAGACAGCAACGCCATCTATGGAGTGGATAGGTGGGCGTTTGTGTCTAAGCCTGTAAGTGAGGTGCCCTAGAGTGTAACTAGTACTGATGACGTGTCTGATTACAGAGTCGACCTGGGACTGCTGTAATGAACGTTGGATCAGTCTACCCAAGGCAGCCGTAGAACCTCCACGCATTTGTTGCTGCAGCTGTGAGTCACCCCCCGGATGAACACTGTTTTGTTAGCCTGCCTGTGAGGTGGCAGAACCAGGGATTGTCGTACCCGGGGCTGACTAGTGGAGAAGACTAGCCACTGGGATGTTGTGGTGAGGAGAGTGATCTGTGGAATCACACGAGGCTCCTGCCTAGGGCTCGCAACCCTAGTATCGGTCGTGGAGTGGCCTACGCAGCGTTGCTGATTGGAACCTGCCAGCTAAAGGCTGGATTTGTGGTTGACGGCCTCCACGACGGTGCACCCAGTGGGACTGTGATTTGGCTGGCCTGTGGCCGGGGTAGACTCGTTACGAGAATCTAAGGATTCGTCTAGAGGCCACAAGAAGAGAACCAGGGCTATTAGTCTTAAGCACCGTTAAGCAGAGCATCAAGTGTCTTCGGAGGAAGACAAGTGATTGTAATTAAGTGTAGTTATAGTAACAGCGTGTGACTGTTTATATATTTACTTATTGGTGGTGGTGAATATATATTTATTTCTGAGCAGTTTTATCCTTTCCCCTTTAATTTACTTGCGTTACGGAGCACACCCCTTGAAAGCCACTACTAGCTTGGGGCCGGATACCCAAGCTCTACTAACATCAGAGAAAGAACCCAGTTGCGACCCAAGAAGGTGGAGGTGGAGCATGGACTCGACTGGACGGGGGAGTACCTTCGCAACATTTTAGTTTTGAAATTACAGGTTTGTTTTGGAGGAAGAGTTGATGGAAGAACTTCGAGGCCAGGGAAAAAGTTAACTGAGGAAACTTCGAGACTGTAGAAGTGAATGCTAAACCCTGTGGGAGAGCAGAACCTCATAGTGAGGAGTGGACCTCAAGCCGTGTAGAAGAGCAGTGAAGAAGGGTTTCATACGTTTCTGTGGGATCAATGGTGAAGCATCGCTGATGTTTGATGAGAACTTCATTGTGTAGCAGTTTAGGAGGACTGCAGAAGAGCCTTGTTGACAATTCGGGGAGAACCTAGAGATGTATGTGGTAGTGAGCCTCTAGGAGCAGAACAGAGGTTCATGGTGATCACACATAATGTATAAGGGGAGTGCTTGAATGTTTATTGGCGTATAAGACGCAGTGGAAGGCGAGAGATTGATTTCTTTTTGTATTGGGGAATATATATATATATATGTTGATGTTTCTGGAGTCTCAGCCACAGGCTGAGCTTCATATACTTTCAGGACTGACTGTACAATATTGTTGTAACGAGTGGTGTTTCAGATACATGCTGAATTTTATATATTTCTAGAGCTGAGTGTACAATAGTGTTGTGACAAATATTGCAGTCCCCACTTGGTGAGGGAGTAGTAAGTGGTAAGCCAAGAGTGAAGCAGCCATTTGATACGGATGGTTGGTGAAGCCAGGATATGGTATTGGATTGCTACCAGGTTGCAGTAGCTTAGAGTGTTGTATGGTAATGTTTTATTGTTCTTGTTTCGTGTACTGTATATGTTCTTTCGTTTATTAAATGCACATTATTAACCGGCTTTTGCTCTTGTCCTGGTGAGGCTTCCCAGAAAGCAGAAGAGAGAGAGAATCACAGCTGCGGACAGGGTGACAGAAAATACTAATTTACAAAAGGGGGATTGAGGAGATTATTCCAAACAAGGAGAGAGTGGGGAGTCATGGCGGCTCAGGTAGGGTGTGTGCACAGGACAACGAAGACAGTGTTGGAGCCGCAGCCCTAGATATGTGAAGCTGAACTCCTCTCGAAGATCAAGAGGCGTACAGGGTGATCTCCTAAGAGAACTTCAAGCACTCCAGAGTTCATTGTTGGTCGACCGGCGGTAGTGGGAGTGTGGCTGCTGAGGTCGGTTGTCTGTTCCTATAGAGAGTGGTTGAGGGGACGTTGTTCACCTGTACGCAAGTAACCGTCTGGTGCAGCAACCAGAGCTTTCTTCGATTGTTTAAGTTCCATAAGCCCCAACCCCCTCAGGTCAGGACACAACACTGAAATCAAGCTTACTATGGACAACCTCTTAACGCTTCGGAGCTCATACACCGTTTAATAAATATAAACTAAGCCACCAGGATAGAGGCAAAATGTACAGGTCTCTTTAATGGAAACAAAGTGTTTGCTGAATCCTGGTGCAGCGTCCCCGGCCTGACCTTAGCAGTGTCCAGAAGATCCGGAGTGAGGAGAGAGAAGGGCAGGTGGGTCTTGATGGTCCGTGGATCAGGTAACGCCTCCGACAGTTGCAACATTATTCCATCCTTGGGGTCCTTGCCAGGACACTTCTCTTTAAATGCTTCTATTACAGGATGGCCATCATCTATTGGTGGAACGTTCTTTGAGAACGCCAACATATCGTAACTGGAAGCAAATTTAATAAAATTATAGTAAAAAGAAAATTTGGTTTGAAATAAGGTAACT